ACGCCATACAAGGAAGCTCAACTGGGCAGTAGTTTGGAAGGCTAAGTGAGTACATAACCTTAAATGGGCCTAAAGCCCATTTCGAACTGGATTGATTTGATCAGTTAATTAAAGGGGCGAATTTTGGGATGGATCAACTGATAGGATTGGGCCTWGACCCTATCCACTTAGAGAGTCCAAGATCTAAATAAGATTTAGATCTGGAAGCCTCCTAATAAGATTAGGAGATGGCTGATCTAATCTGCAGATAAGATAAGGGTTCTCCCTTATCACTTAAAGGGACTTCTGATCCAAATATGATTTGGATCAGCAACTCCTAATGGGATTAGGAGCTAATCCCTTTAAGCTTATAAAAGAAGAAGGGGGCGGCAGCCTTTAGGTTTTGATGTTTTAATTCTCTTCAGAGCTGAAATCACAGGAGAAAGAATTCTGCAACCTTCACAGAAATTCTTTCTTGCCGCTTCCTTCCTATCGCCGTCATAACCCCAATTCGATCTCCAAAGTCTTGGGAGAAATCAAGATTTGATCTTGACATCAATTCTTTCAGAAAGGATTGATTGGGAGTTGTAATCACGTGTCGTCCTGCTGGTTCTTACGAAGGATCAGGTTCTTGGAGAACGCTGTTGATTCTGCTCCACCCTGCACTACGCCATCTTCAATGAGAGCAGATTTTGGATCATTCCTTGGGCGTGAACACCTCCGTTGAGAGAAAGTATTTCTCTGTATCAGCTATACCTCTCTCCTTTTCCTTTTGGTTCAGATCTGATTTGGTTCATGATTCAAGATTTATCATTGAAAAATGTGTTTCAAAATAGAGAATTCGATTCCTAGCAAAGATGAGAGAAATTTTTTTGAAATTCGCCCGGTCTATTCCGCAAGATTTGGAAGTCCATATGATGGATATCCCATCCCTTCAGATTCTGACCCTTGCATAAAGCCTGAAGCCCAGCCTGGATAGTTACAAGCCAGGCATATATGCAAAAGCCCGAGCTTGGCCTGAAAAATGATTGAAGCCAGGCCCATGAATAATTCTAGTAACAAGTTATCCTCTTCATTAGTGTCCTGGCTCACCATTTTCATGGTATTAGAGGTCAGGATATGGCTTGATTACTTGGTTTCTTTTGTCTATCAATTTGGTCTCCTCCATTTCCTTTTAGGGGGTGTTTTTTTATTTTTTGGATTTTGAGAGGGAGAAAAGTTGGTCAATGGGATTTTGGTTCCTATTGACCAACAATCCCATGTTCTATTTTTCAGATTTATATGGAGATCAAGGAAAGTTTATTTTCCTAAGTATCACTTACTTGGGTTAATGGTACCCATCTCTTAGTTGGATAAATAACTTTCCCATCTAAAGGGAAGTTGCCAACACTTGAATGAAACAAAAATACCATTTTTAATAATAGATTTTTATGGCTAAAATGGTCATTATATTATTTACATAAAAAATTAAAGAGTATGAGTAAATGCACTTACCCAAATAAATATTTCCCAAAAAATATTACCCAAATAATTACATTTAACCAAATAGATAACTTACAGAAAAGTAAACATAACATTAGTTCACTCTATGATTAAGTCTGACGTCACTATGCTTCCTTCATCCATAAGATAATCCGGGGGCTATTCTGGTTTCTTGCCCTCTGAGTGGTGAAAACTATTCCTAAAAACGAGCGATGGAAAACGTGTTATTTGTAGACGACACTTTCCACGACTGGATCCAGTAGCTGCTAAAGCTCAAGCTCGGATGAAATGGAATTCAATGATAATTTATTGCATCTTCAACTCATTATCTAAGAAATTATACCGACTGCCCAATAGTAAGGGTCTTGGGCCTAAGTTATATGTTCAGGCGAAGCCCGGGCCCGGCCAGTTTGTATATATTTCAATACTAGCAGGGCCATGCGATGCACCAGATTTGTAATAAATTGATATGATGTCCAGAAATATAAATGTTATAGTATAGCGATCAATATATTAAATTATTACTAATTCATAGCATGAAAATAATCAATAAATTTAAATAATTCATACTTTTTAAAGTAGTATAGATATGGATATAGATATAGATATGCATACACTATCCCAATTAATTTATTAGTAAAATTGGCCTAGGTGTTATATTTTTTTAAACAATCGTAAATCGTAGATTCAAGTTACAAGCTATTTTCAATTTATTTGGTTCATGATATACAATATTCAAGACTAGAAGTCGTTTTTACTTCATTGTATTGAAAATATATAAATTTTTGGTTAGGCTGTGTTTGGTTGTAGTTGAATTTTACTTGTATTAGTACAAATGCATGGAGGTGCAAATGGAAAGAATGCAAGCTCTACTTTAATTTTGTTTTGGATTTTATTTTACATAATTTTGCTTTAGGTATTGTTTAATTTGTTTTTCTTTATTTGTATTGCAATCAAACAAAATGAAGTAAAATTTGAAGCAAAAATAAATTAGAATTTGCACCCAAACAAATTGCATTACCATAATTGTTTGCATGCACATAAATTTGCACTGCTACCAAACACAACCTTAGTTTCAGATTAATTTATGGGGTATTATCTAAGTACGTATTTGGCATCAATGTGGGGTATTATCTAAGTAGGTGTTTGGCATCAGTGTTGAGATCACAACACCATTTCAAAACATAAAAACGGTGCTAGGTATGTTTGAGTTGTAAGCACCGTTGGTGCTTATTTTTTGTTTGGAAATGGTGCTGCCACATAGGATGTTTACTGGGAAAGAAACACTGGATTTGTTTGGTACCAGTGCTGTAGAACTGTTTCCAAAATATGTTATATTATATATACTACATCCAAGATGATGCCACATCATTGCACTACTGGCAACAATGCATCATTTTTTGAGAAAACGTTG